TTCAACACTTAACCCTCATTGATACTTCAAAGATAATGTTGTTCGAATCTCAGTGGGATTTACGAATTTATTTGATTCCCCAACAGTTTATGACATAATAGGAAGGAGTGGGCTTAACACGTTGAACAACAATCATAGTTTGATGTTTGTCGAAATGTATTCACCTGAATGTATTACACTTTACTGCATGCGATGGTGCTACAGCGATATAATGATCGCCTACTAAGAACGTCGTCTGCAAGACACTCTTCTAGGCCCTGACTAGTCAGTATCAAGCCCTGAAATGACGGAATATTGGGTATGAAGCTGTTGATCCTACGCCATGTAATAATAATAAAAGCACTCCAAATGAAAATTCAAGGCCTCAGGCCCTACGTTCTACTCGGAATGCAAAGAAATAGAAAAAAGAATGTATAAGTGTCGCATTCATTTGTGTTCTAAAAGTGAAGTCAGCACAGATGCACTACGGTATAACTTAATTCCGTATTAGATTGAATAGTTCGGTAGTAATCATGGATAATGCGTTACACAAAATTTGTTAATTATAGCCACTTTCTAATTTGAATTGTGTAGTCTAACTGTTGTTTCTTCCTCTTTTTATTTGGTTGTTTTCGTCTATATCTGTGATTGATGCAGAATAATCATTCCTGCTGTATATGTTGCACACTGATACGATGAACACAAAATAATAATGAATGCAAGCGTAACCCCATTAGAAGATGTAGGCAGGACCATCAGATGGCTACACGAGTACTTTCTCTATAAAGGTAGAGGATATATGGTGTACACTAGAGTGGGACAACTTTGAAGGGCAAACCTGTTCTTGTTGATACCCTAAGTGATGTCTGTTCTTGATAAAAGCTAGATTGAAATCCTCACACATTCAACATCTCAGTGTGGTCAAATCTATTTAACAATGGAAGGACGTGGAACTCCTCCATCGCCTACATACTTCAGGGCATGATTATATGGTAGTACATGCATAGTAATAGCTGACTACTTATCATAATTTGTGTTAATGATTCTGCTCTTCATTACTTCCTTATGCTGTGATAAATTAGACTGTATATGACTGACGAATCTGACACATACACTTACCTTACAGTTTTCACTCCATATTTTGTAGACATAATTAGCATGTGATTTTGATACCGTTTTAGTTTCAGCTAGATTAGCCGTCTTAATTAAGATTTCTTATGACCTTTTTGATCAGTGGATAGCTCTGTAGAGAAGCTTCTCACTCTAGTAGCTGCTTGCATCACTACTTACATTTTATATTTTTTTTCTTCCTTTACGTTCCCAGTGGTGGAACATAAGGCTTCAAGCTAGAGGCTTGGAGTTTTGACAGCAGCAGTGTTTATTTTCACAGGATGAGGTTGCTAGCCTCATGCTCAACCTTCCCTCTTTACAAGTCTTATTACTGGCTCAGCATCGGCCGGAGACTGAACAGCTAACTACCTGCGTGGTTGGCGAGCATTCTACCACTGTACCACTGACGCACACACATTTTATATGAATGACTAGAAATTCCTAAATTTTGTTGGATATTTAGTTAGCTGATTTATTTCTTTTAAACTTTCTTCATCGCTGTATTCTGTAATGAGAAAGATACAGTTCTCCTTGTTCATCCACTAACTGAAAGTTAAATTAAAATCTTTCTATTACTGAGTATATGTTCAACGAAACTCCAATACAATGCGTTTCTCTATCTTTACCATAAATATACCTTCGACGATTGATGAAATCGTCCTAGTTTCTGACATTTCAGTAGTGCTCACTTTTGATCACACTAGGGATCTAACCCGGAACCTTCAGTTTATGAGGTAAACACATTGACCAATGGAAAGGAATACAAAATGCCTAATAAGTTCTAACTTTTCCTGATTCATGAGATATGATAGAAATACTAACCAGTGTCATCGACAAGTATCTTTCACTACACCCGACATGGTTTAACCTCTCAGGATAAGACTTCACATTGAAACTTCAGGAAGTTCATCCCTTAGTCACTCATTAATAATCCGTATGAAATGTTTTTATATATTTGTGTCTCAGTGGCATGTCTTTACAAAAAAGTCAGCATTGAATATTTCCCTATGAAAATTTACCCAGATATTGCTAACTCAAGGGGAATACTGCTTGCAACACAACTCACCTATCAATGTCCTTAGCTGATGAGTAGATTTTATGTTTATGTGTTAAGAACTTCACGGTGTAAATGTGAACTAAAACTTTTGTTAAAGAACATGCGTATTCTTAGATGGTTGGAGACGATCGGCCGGAGGAAGCTTTCGACCTAGGTTTCATGCTAGTTGACACTCATCAGTCAGACCTCGAAAGAACTCATGTCCCTCTTGAGGTTCAAACCTGTGTAACCCAGTGCTGCAGTTATAGACGCTACCAGTGAGTTATTCTGGTTCGCGATTGACCTCCTGTATGACTGCATTGGATATTTTTAATTGGACACTAGTCAGTAACTAGTGTAATGTGTCTAGTCCTATCTTTTGATGCAGAATGAATTCTACTAGTCACGTTTTCAATGTGGGACATGAGGTCCTTCAAGGTTGCAGACACGCCTTACTGACTGGTGAGTGGTAAGTAGCACGAAACATAGATGAGGTAGGGCTTCCTGCAGCCGATTGCCTCCAACCATCCAATAACAACAATTCACAGTACACCGTGATGGCGAGCCACCTAGTGGCATGGTGGCCACATTGCAAACTTGACTGGTGATAGAATTCATTGTGCAACAAACAGAGGACTAGATAGATTACACTAGTTACTGACTAGTTTCCAATAAATAAACAAGTGTGTTCTGTGTAATGAAACCTCTCCTTTCCTAGATTTGAATATTGCTGTCACTAAGATATCATCATTAGAGACAATTTCTTCTGACGTATAAATTTTTGTTTTCTTTTCACCTCGTATTCTATCATTGATGAAGTACAGATTCGATTTTATGTATTATCAGTTCTCCTGAGTAGCTAACGAGAGTTCAGACAGTTATAACTGATATTCCGGGTGAGTCATTCCTAGGAAAACACTCTAGAGCTCAGCTCTAAACCAGCGAAAAATCTCCTCCTCTGTTTAGATTACTGCCATCTACCAGTTGGCTTGGTGGTTTCCAACTACTCGTTTCAATCAGTAGTATATGTCATCATACCATTCTATTTTCCTTGGATTAAACCTTAGACTAAATATATCACAATAGTTTGAGTTTATTCTATGTGAAAACAAACACGTAGTGTTCAGCGAAGTGCCTCTTTTCGGCGGTGGCGAATTCATTTTCATAGCTGCATAATCGCAAATATATATGAGTTATTTTGTGTGCATGTGTGCATTAGGTTTGTCAAGCAAAAATACAATTGGTTACGGTTATTTTAATTAAACGCGGGGTGAGAATTAGTAAGTTTTGGGTAGAGCTAATTAATACAAAAAAGGTCAAGAAAACTGGGTGTTAGTGAAACTAGTGTAGTAACAAAGGTGATGTGTTGTCATAAACAGTTATTGAAAAAGAGCTACAGAGTAATATGAATAGTTTGATGACTAAGTTGTACTCAAGATACAGTTAGGAACAAAGAAGAGAATACGAAATTACGTAAGAGTTCTAAATGAATACAAGAATCATAAGCAATCAAAAAAACAGGCAAACAAACAAAATTAAGTCATCAAAAATCAACAAAGTTGTTACCATGATAGTAGAAATGGTTGAGTAATTCTCTTCTGTAAGAACAGCTCCAGTTTTTCTATGTAAATGGTCAAAACTTCAGCAATACAAAGAAGGCGAAACTGTATTGCCTTTGGTAGGTTATTCTTGACTCTGTAGATTACTTTGAAGCAGGAGGCGTTTGTTGAGATGGATTGATCAGTGTTAACCAGGTGTTCAATTATCGCACTCCTAATTGCACCAGTATTGCCTTTTCGCAGCTATGCTGGATAGTGTTCTTGAATCCTCTTGGACAAGATGCACGTCAAACGACCGATGTACGTGGCTACGCAGCAGCAGGTGAACTGATATACGCATTGATATATATATTATAAAGTCTCATATAATGCAGATTACTGAGTAGTGAACTCTGTTCACTTAACTGTGATATAATGGAGAAGATTTGTAGCTCAGGTGGATGATTTTGGTGTGGTTGTGTTCTCTGAGCTGGATGGTTTGGTTGCGAAGCTTTCATTGCTCTACTGAGCAATTGCTCAGTAGAGCAATGAAAGCTTCGCAACCAAACCATCCAGCTCAGAGAACACAACCACACCAAAACTTTACTGTGAACATTGAATATGGTTTTAAACACACACCAAACAAACAGTTAACCCCAACATATAGCATTTAGTTTATGCATTGTCATAGATAATTTTATCTAGTAAGTCTTCTGAAACCACTAGGAAATCTAAGATGACGAACTGACATCAGTTAGAGAAACACTGAAATCTTCGAAACACTGAGAAGATATTTCACTCTTGTTTTTGACTCTTCAGTAGCACGCACCTATGACACCACTAAGCATCGGACACAGGACCTGCAGATTACGTGACAAGCCCGTTGACCAATTAGCCAGTGAAATGGAGTCTAGTGGTACATAAATTCTAACTTCTCTAGAATTCGTGACATGTAGCACCACTTCCAGCCAAAGTTGTCGGCAAGTGTTTAACCACACAACCATCAGATTCCTTTCCAGTGGTTGAATGGTCAATATCTTTGTCACGCTGCCATCCTGCATACGATCTCTAGTGGTTTCACTGGAGCGCACTGGTGAAGAGATCCCAGTCAAGACTAAACAACTATCAAATACTTCTTGGTTTTCAGTGATTGTCTAAATGATGCTAATTCGTGATCGAACCTTGAATAAATTCTCTTATGATGTCTTTTGGTAGCTGCTAATGTTAGCATTTATGTATATCTATCAATGTACACTTCGAGTTATATATTTATTTATTCACACAGTCGCCATCATTACTTAATGTTTCTTATTCATTGTGTTAAAATTTAATTCTAGTTCACGATTTGGTGCTGTTCAACCAATGCAGGCAATCGAAGATGGTAACAACTCATCATCCTATTCAGGTGAGTAATCTTATATACATGTTTTGTATGTTCAAACATCTTACATAGTAATTCCATATTATTTTGTTTATTAGATGTATCACACAGCGAAACAGTCGTATTATTTACTGGATAACGTTTCGAACAAAATTTATTGTTCATAATCATATCAATTGTAATCACACGACTTTGACACTTGAGTCTTATAGTTTTCTTTGTTCTCTCCTATTTGTCGTAGGGGTAGTAGAATTTTCCAGATATCTGGGACAGGTGATGAATCATTCCTATTACATGTATTTGCAGTTGATTCGATAAACAAAGCTTCTGTTATCAATCTCTCCCTCAACCCTGTGACATTAGATTTTAGAACTTTCATCTTACCCCACCCGTCCTATTATATGGTTGTGTGTAACTGAATTCAGTGAGTGCTATAGCTGAACTATTCTACAGATTTCTTATCTTATTCGGGTCAAACAATCTAAATTTCGCTAGGTTTTAATGTTCTGCTAATCTGACTGCCCCTGTTCTACTAGTTTGACCTGTGTATTTGACCTGACAATCATTGCAGGGTATTAGATAAACTAAATTAATTCGTTTAGTTGGCTCCACAGGATGCTGTAACCGACAAAGAATTCTGTGTAAGGTTTCCAAAGTTCCTTCCTTGTATGGAATTACTACAGATGATTTAGATCCCCTATTGTTGGTGTTGTCTTCCACATATTCGACATACATGTCGTCATTATCATTATTATTATTATTATCACTATCACTTCTATCATTATTTATTTTATTTTTATTATTACATTTCCTTACATATTTCCTGACTAATTTATCAGGGCAATTATTAAGTTTCAAGGCTCCCTTTATATGTATCACTTTTTGTCTTAGATTTTCCTTGGTACTACTTAGTTTTTGTGCTCTGTCTCTTAAACATTTCACCAATCCTATTTTTACTGACATAGGATGGGATGATCGGAAGTCCAAATATCTGTTTGAATGTGTGCGTTTCCTGTAAGCACAATAGTGTTTAACTTCCCATGTTCTTTCCTTTTTACATTGCAATCTAACATTGGAAGCTCCCCTTCCTGACTTTTTAATTCATAAGTGAATTGAATTGCCTCCACCTTTGAGTTAATCTGTTCGAAAAATCTATCCATATCTTGTGTTCTAAGTGCAGTGAATGTGTCATCTACATACCTCCACCATACTTATTATTATTAAACTTATACTTATTATCACCATACTTATTGTTATTATTATCATTCTGAATATCTCCTTAATTAATTCTATTTTATTGAACTGAAGTGTTCAGTATTTGTTGTCATGTCGGCTGACGGTCTGAATATCTGGAAAATTCCGTCATCTTGCATAGTATTCTTTCAAAATGACCAAACTCATACTACATCCTTGTATCACCTACCAAAGGTTGGTCCAGCATTCGTCTGTCGGCCGACACACTCCTAAACCTCACTAAGCCGGTAGTAAGCTCGGTAGAGATGGGAAATTGGCCGTTAGGCTAGCAACCCCACCCCGTAAAAATAAAAACCATTGCTAATGGAATTTCATAGCTCAGGGTTGAAGCCCTGTGTTCCACTGAGATTGCAAAGGAATAAAATAATTTTTTTTAAACAATATTGAATCAATAGAAAAATTAGATTATGTAAAAAAACTGTGAAATTACCTTCATTGTAAAACTCTGTTTAATAAAAGGCATTATCAAACACTTCCTGAACATTGTTTGACTGAGTCATACATCAAAGGAGAACTTTAGGCATAATAGTATCAGTCCAATTTGCCACATTTTCAATCAAGCACACAAGATAAATGAAGCTTATAAATAATAATAATAATACGAGAAAGAAGCATAGAATGCAATAGTGCGAATAATAAAAGAATACTGTTCAAGATATTTGGTTTGTGATACCCAGTAGTGGGATCCAAGACTCCATTTCCGCTCCCTTAAGGACTCATCAGTTGAATTAACCCACAGTCCAAATGGTGTTCCTACTTGGACGTCATTCATCGGGCAACTAGGTCATTGTTAAGGAGCTCATTTGAATGTGTCAACAGAAAATGAAGATTACACTCCAATATAACCGATTAACAGAAAATGCAAAATAATTCCAAACTAGAAGACTAGCATAACCTTCTGAATATGAAAGACGACAAGAAAACACCTGTCTATGCCACTGTGAATGGTTACCATTTGTCCCGCCGAAAACCTCTAACCTTCGATTTTAAGCCTTCCAAAGACGTTAAAAAATAAATAAACTGGATTGCATGGAGGATTTCATCATGAGCTAACAACAGTTAGAGAATCACTGGAAAATCTGGGAGTGCTGGACAGCCGTTTATATCGTCCTAGTTTGAGACTCTTCAGAAGTACGCACCCACCGGAATTTGAATCCAGGAACCTCAGGTTACAAAGCAAGCTCGTAGACCATTGAGCCACTAGGACCCGATCCAAACGTCCTTGAATTCTAGCTTCTACAAATTCACGACATAGCGCGACCATTTCGCAATGTCTTCCCCTTCGATGAGTTACTGCCTCATCTTCAACCTGCTATACCCTACTGGTAACAGCTTCACACTAGAACTCCAGGTTAACTGCCTGAATATGGCTAGTCGCTAGTGAGCATCAGATTAATCTTCAAGTACTGGTTCTGTAGGGATTTTGTTTGATTGCATGGAGGATTGTAAAGCTTAATAATGAGTGTATTCAAAGTAATTATGGAAACTGGTTGTATGAATTAGTGGGTTAAGCTTAGTGAGTGAAAATCGAAAACAAAGAATGCTGCAACTGAGAACAACAAGACACAAAAGAGACATAGTTACCCTGGTAGACAGAGATTAATCCCACTGTCTTTTTGTTTACAAAGTTTATGTTGAAATTGTTGAATAGCTGACTGATTTCAAATGGATGTCGTGTGTCAATCAGGTGCCTAGCGATTGCGCTCATCAACAAATACGAATACTGTTAGAGATATATTCTGAGTAAATTTGGTAGACTCTCTTCTCTCAATCCCTGATGTGTACTTATCACCGCAAGTAAATTGGTGTTGAAATGAGCAGGATTCCTATCGACTATAGACTGTACAAATGGATGTCTGGTGTTACAAAAAAGAATCAATCTGGTGGCAGGAAATCTTCTTTTCAATGTACCTTTAATTCTATTTCCTTTTCTTCTAGTTTTTCTCACATCCTCCTTGTACTCAATTTAGATAAAAAACTCGTTTCTTTTCAACTCTTACTGGCTTGGATCAGTCTGTTTGGATGTTTCTTCTCTTCCGTATTTCATTGTAAGCTCCTTTATATATATCCGTTTTTCATTCTATTCTTTTAAATAATATTGATTTCTTCATCATTCTGATTTTCTGAACATAACGCTATAATTCTACTGGAACAACATTTTAACCAATTAGACAAAAACTGTGGTAATTTAAGCACTAACTTTATATACTACCGATTAATTGAGGAAAGTAGTGCCTGCTAGCTATCGAAACTAAAGTGTTATAAACATCGGATGACTGTTTCACTCGTTTGAGGATTAGTTCATCAGAGGTGTACGCGAGATCACTTCAGCTCAGAGAGTAGAATCAGTCAAAAGAAACCACCAACGATATAAATAATTCTGCTTTTCAAAGGGAACTTTTGTGAAACTTCACCTCGAAATGTGTAAATTCCGAGTTAATTTTCCAGACAGTGAATTCGATTCAAGTACTGACCTGTTAAAGTTTCTTTTTTTGTGCAGATAGTTTTCTTCAGTAGTCCCAACATTTCCACGTTTTTTTTTTGTTTTGCTAAGATCTGGAAAGCTGAACTAGATTTCATGTTCATAATCCAGTTTAAAACACTAATTGTAAGCGCAATATCGCTTGAAATTAAGTCACGCGTAGATAAAGACTATCCCGGTCCAGAACAAACTAGAAGCCGGTCACTGTTTCTACGGTACTATTAATAAACAAATCAATAATTATATGTACAACAAACCTTAACGGTTTCAAGAGTACAAAGCACAATGCTTAACAGAAAGCAAGTTACCGCTATTAGAGTGGAATAACGTTAAAGCCACAATTGCGAACTAGTCGGAATCAGACACGACCGATCAGGTAAGCAGTCAGTAGAAGAATGAACCCAAGTAAGAGATAGATAGAGCATAGGCACAAAGATAGAATTTAATTGGCTACTTAACCAATCAATAAATAAGATAAACTCGACAGAATAGAACAAAGTAAGACATGGGTCAGCAAAATAACAGTTCACAAAAATACTCTGATTAGGTCATGAGTTCAACTATCTGACTAAACAGATCGAAGTAAAAACACACACAGTTCATTAAACAAGGTGGGATAGACACGTTAGGCATGGATAATTGGGTTGCAACAACGCTAGGCCGATGCGGGACAGGTTGACTTGACTCAAGGATGGGAAATGAATTGATCTTACACTAATTATGTGAGGATGAACTATATTACTTCTTTCAAACATCATTGATGCATCATCCATATTACTCCAAATAATAATAAATATGCCATCAACATACCTGATATAATATACGATCTTCTCTTTCTCGGATTTCAGCTGCGTTTTTTTTTTCAAGATGGTCAGTGAATATGTGGGAACAGTAGGAAGCCGTGACCAGTAGGGTACAGCAGGTTGAAGGTGAGAATAATTACTCATCGAAGATACTGCGAAGTGGTTACACTATGTCGCGAATCGGCAGAAGTTAGAATTCATGAGCTGGCCATTGGATCGGGTCTCAGTGGCTTAGTGGTCCGCGAGCTAACTCACCTTGTAATCAGAACGTCCTGGCGGTGGGTTCGTACTTTCGAAGATTCGCAAGGTAGGACGAAACGGCTGTCCAGTGCTCCTAGGTTTTCCAGTGATTCTGGCTCTCTAAATGATGTCAGCTCATGATGAAATCCTCCAACCAATGAATATGAACAGATTACATCAATAATAATAATAATTTATGTTACTTTTCAAATTGTCAGTAACTGATAAAAGGGTGCGAAATTACA